AAAACAAAACCCAAGAGGATTCTGGCCTGAATTTATATCCAGAGCCCAGTGCTCGTGCGCCCCTGACTCTCACCTCTGGGACTCTCGATTTCCTTGGCCCTGCCTGCTTGCACATTGCTGCAAATCAGCAAATATGCCAGAATGTACGTATCCTCCAGTGTTTACTCTCGGTTCGCACAAGGAACTCAATGCAATTAACACAAAAGCACTCCACGTGCAACACAAAACTGCCTTGGAAAGGACTACCATGCTGGCAGGTGTAAGGCAGATGCACACAGCTGGAGGTGCATCTTGAGAAAGCAAATGGGTGCTGAAGTACACAATTGAGCTGAGAACAAGACAGACCTTTGCAAATCTTCAAAAAGCTCTGAGTTCGCTCATTTGAGGCTTAAACCTGCTGAGAGGTGAACCCTCTGGCTCTACTATCTAGCAACCAACTCAAGCATGTGATTTTAATTTCAACCAGACTGCTCACCTGCTTAACGTGGGCCATGGGTACTCAATTCCCTGCCAAGTGGGGCCTTAATTTTTTAAAACATTTACCATTTCCTCCATGTGGAACAAAAGTCAGTGGCATGTGCATGTCTGAGATGTGATCCTAGCCCAGGCTGACCACTCTCACTTTGCTTCTGCTATCTGAATGCCCTTGTGCCAACGTTTATTGTTCTTTTAATCATAAATACCCTCTATGGCAAGGCCTCGCTCAGGCCCCTTGCCCTGGGACCCCTTTTTCGGCCACAAATCACCTGGGCTATGTCTCGATTGCAAGATTTTTTTCTCGAAAAACCTTTTTTCGAAAAAGCGCACTCATGGGATTATGCAAATGAAGTTGAGATTTGCAAATCCGCGCTTCATTTGCTTTTCGATCTGCTTCACTTGCATTCCTCTTTCTAGAGAGGAACGCAGTCTAGACGAGCCCTTGGAGACTCTCTCTTGTGCAATCATCTGTGTCTTTTTATTGTCTGTGCCAACATCCCACCCCCTTCCTACCCCCTTTGTTGGTCCAGCAGCTAACTTGGCTACCCTCTCTATCTGGCTGGGGAGCGCACTCGGCCACTCTCTGGCTCCTCCCCTTCCACTTCCCTTCTGCCGCCTTATCTAGTCTCCTAGCTAATGAGGCCCACAGCTGTTTCCAATTAGCCCTTCAGGCCTGGGCCTGCTCAGCTGGTTTCAATTTCCCTTCTCAGCCAGGCTATAGTGGCAGAGCTCTGGCTTAGCCAGCAGCTGGTCATACTTCTTTCAAAGAGCTCTCCAAGGAGACGAGCAACATACTTTTGTGTATCAGGCCAAGGTGTGCTGGGGTGTGTGTGTTAATTTTCAGTAATAAAGACCCAGAGGAATTGCTTCAACTCTGTTTATGTGGGTCCAAGAGCTACCTTCAAAAGCATGGAAGGGACTTCCACTTAAGGTACCAGGCATCGCTCTGAAGGTCGCATCTGGGCCAGAATAAGTGTTTACCGCTTGTTCCTGATGTGACAAATTGCTTATCTATGCACAGCTGGACCCATGCAACTTTGTGATTCCATTGCTGGTACTCGCTCAACTAGGGATGTAAGCGTCTAGTCGACTATCCGGTAAAAAGGAGCTTATCAGACAGCAGACTAGTAATGTGACTAATCGCTCCCCATCCCTTGCTGCCTCTATCAGAAAGAGGCAGCAAGGGCGAGGGAACAGGAGTAGGTGCTGGGGGGAGCCAACTTAAAAGCCAGTTCCCCCCAGCACTATCTCCATGGAGTAGGGGAGGTAGAGGCACAATGGGAAATGGCATGAGTGGGGACTGAATCAGTCTCTGATCCTGCCACTTCTGCCGTGATTCTGCTTTTGAAATGTACAAGAGTCCCAGGGGGCTCTTGTACATTTCAAATGCAGAAGCTGCGCAGGGAGCGCAGGGTCAGTGGGACTCCCCTGCTGGCCCCACACTTCCTGTGGCGCCTGAGCCTTTGAAATGTATAAGAGCCCCAGTGGGCCTCTTGTATATTTCAAAAGGAAGTCCCGTGCTACAGGGCTCTTGCTACAATTCAAAGGCGGAAGCGCCCTTATAGACTAAACAATAATCGATGGAAATCCCATTGACTATTCCATTAGTTAATCTAAATTTAACATCCCTACACCCAACAGCGCTGTCGGCTGCACTCACTGATTGCATCTGGTCTTAATCTAGGCTTTAGACTGCAGGATACGGACTGTCTCATGTCATACGCTGCCCCAGCACAATCAAGCCCCAGTAGGTGCCATCATCATACAACCGTGGATTGGGGGATTACCTTGCATCTTCAGCCCTTATAAGACTTTCCCCCTCTATATTTTCTCACCCAGTCCTTCCTGTGTGCTCCTATCATCTTATCTGTCTCTGGAGATTTATGTCAGTAGCATCTTGAAAACCTACTTTAAAGAACACGGCCTGTATCTTCCCTTTGATCTTCACACTGGCATCGATGGGAGTCCCACATGTAGAACGAACATACAGAATATGCTGTTTCAGATGAAGTTTCATGGCCATTAGGATCAGAAAGTCACATGAATTTCTCTGCCTGGTGTGAGCGGGTAATAAAGTCTTCAGATGTTCCTGAACTTTCCTCGTCTTTTATAGGCCACGTCTAATTAGTACCAAACTTGGAAAGCACAATTTTTATCCTGAATTATTTATCCCATCCTGTTTGCAAAGCACACATCATGGAGTAGTTCACAACAGCTTCAGACCATAAGATTAATCTTCTCTGATGACATCCTCACCAATGTGAATATATAATTATCTAGCTGACAAGTCTCTGAAATTACATACTTTCAAATACAAATGAGTCGAATTTATCCTTTTATTTGGTGTGAAGCCAAACGGGAAAAAAAAAAAAACTGAAAGCAGAATTGACAAAACACATGTTGGCTCTGTCTGTCTATCAGCAGTTTTCATGCACCTGTCACGTTACTATCTAGATGTCAATTTCAACTGGGTCTGAAATTCTAACCTAATGTTTTCTTCCCTAATTGGAGCGTGATCCTGAATTTCTATGGAGTTCCATGCTTGGAGAGTTTGCAGGAGGCGGTTAGGCCTTAGTCTGTATATTGTTCAGCAGTGAAAGAAAAAAGCAAGGGGGTAATGCAGATATTATCCTTACTTCCAGCAAGTGTGGCACATTTGCAAGTGTGCCTGTGTTTGTGAGAATAAGGGCAGAATGTTAGTTGGAAATGAAACGTTTGGCTATATCGTCCTGAGGTACAAAATGCAGAAACAGTTGACAAGAAGAAACACTTTTTTTTTTTACAGGAGGCTACATGCAAAAAGATGTTAAAAGAAAATATCCTAGAACATCGTGAACCAGCCTCTTGCTACCTCCAAAAATATACCCAATTCTGGGATCAACTGTACTTTCATCTCTTTTGGAATGGTAGTAAAAAAACAACCACCCCTATCTGTTAGACGAGGTACCCTCTAATTACTCATTAAAAAGTCAGCAATAAATACATGATCACACAGGTCTACAGAGCAAGGAATGCAAACCCCAGAGTGTGCGAGCTTATAAAATGGATCTTCTTGCAGAAGGTCAGTTTCTAAAGTATGCATGTTGAGTATGCTGTTTAGAAAGCAGCCCAGTTTCTAAACAGCATGCTGCACTTCTTTATTTTTTCATCCTATTTCATTATAAAAAGGTGGTTTTCAAATTTTAAACACCTCACGTGGCTTTGCCGGCTTCTCTCCTTTCACCTTAGGAAGCGGAGTTGCTGTACTGAAGAGGCCGTTCCGTCAGCAGGAGGGATGCAGTGGTGTATACCATTAATTAGGACTTGGGTTGCAGGATTCTGAATGTGCTGGCTGCTTTGAGCTCACACCACCCGGCGCCGCTCCTTGCTCCAAGTCTTACGTTGTTTCGGAAAGCAGTAGAGTTCCCCACACAAGCTATTGTTATATCTCCGATGCTGCTGCCACCCTTGGGCAGCAGGGCTAATGATGTGATGGCGCATTCACAGCCACGAAGACAGACTTTCATTTCTTAAAAGTAAGTCCCACAGGTTTCCACCTGCTGCTGCCCTGCTTCCAATGGAGCAGAGACTGACTTTGTGGAAATGGAGGATTATTTGCATCGCCGTCATTTTAGAACCACATGGAGATTAAGGACCCAAGATTAGCAACAGCCACGGTGCTCTCCAGCACTAGAATCTCAGTTTGATTCGGACCAGGAGTGTTAATGGGTAACAGGCAGGGGCTGGGACTGGGAGCCCTTGCAGCAGTCCCCACAGAGGGACCAGGAGCTGTGGCATCAGCCCCCGTGCAGAGTCCAGGAGCAGCGAGGCTGGAATGGCCTCCCCCGTCCACATCCCCTGTAATCGGTTAAACACAGTGTCAGCCCTGCATTTAACCACGTAACCGATCACATAGGATTTTACATCCCTAATTCATACAAAGTTTTGGGATCTCCAAGGCTGGCCAGCACTCTCCAGGAGCTTATGGAAAGCCTCTCTCTGTTCCTTCTATGCCACCAAGAGAACTGCTTGTGGAGCCAGCATCAACTTGCTCTCCACACGTGCTGTTCTTGGCAGTGGGGTTAATGGATACAGTACAAACACAGAGGAGACAGCTCGTGGACATATGATCCCCACAGGAGCTATGCTGCCATAGGAGAAGCAACCAGTGTCTGGATTCATGTGCTTGCCATTTGCTTTGCTGGCTACGCAGGTCCCAGGACCCACAAGGCCACAAATCTCTCTCTAGGAAGAGGATAAGAGAAGAGAAAACGTCACGTGAAAAACTTTGCAAAAGAGCTTCCTTGTGAGTAAGAATTCTTTTTACAGAAGGGTGAGATCTAGCTCAAGGCTTTGAAGCCTTCTTCAGTGAATATGAGCACAGATTTAATCAAAGCCATTTCTCCTTTCCCAGCATCATGAGCATTTCTGATCGGGGACAATTCTTATAATCTCTCTCCTGGGTATTTTGTTTAAAATCACACAGCCAGTCGACGCAAGAGTAAGAACAGTGCATATTACATAGAATAGCTTTGTCCTTTTACCTGTCCACCCAGCAAGGCAGCAGCAATACCCCGAGACAGGATCGCACCCATCTGCATGGCTACAGTCACAGCGTTCACTGCAATTCACGCCATATGTTCCATCCTTCCAAAAACATAAATGTAAAAGCACCTCAGTAATTGGATCGTGGACCTTAAATGTGCACAATCATCTACCGTGTCCATTTCAATGCAAAGTTGCATTTTTTTAAAATTCACATGCTACAGTCAGGGTAAAATAACGGGAGGCTTAGCACTTCTACAAAGAACCAAAGGAAGAATACGGAGCAATGTTCAAGAGACAACGCAGAGTGCACCATCGTCTCGCTGACAGTAGGGAGCAGAAAAAGGAACGACAGGTCGGACCTCTCTGGTACGGATGGAGGATTTTGCCGAACCAGGGGAGGTCATTTCTGGACCCCCTGCTGCTGGCCCCACACTCTGACCTACTGCTCCACCGGCCTTTCCAGCTCTCCACCCCAGCGCTGCACACCAAGTCTGCCCCCCCCAGCAAGACCCACACACCAGACTGCCCGACTCCTGGCCTCCCTCCCATAAGCCCAGCTGAGCTGCACACCAGATCCCGGCCCCTCCAGCCCAGTTGTGTGCTGGGCTGCCTGGACCTCCCTGCTTCATAGCCCAGCTGTGTTGTGTGCTGGACTCCCACCCACCTCCTGCATCAGGGTCAGCCTCCCACCCCCACGCAACCGGGCCTCTCCACCCCCCACAGTGCACCAGGACTCTGGAGCATCTGTGTTGGTGCCAGACCATGGATGGTGCCAGACTAGAGTCCCGGTTTCTAGAGGTGCAACCTTACTCTACTTGTCTGCATAGAACTCAGAGCTGGTGTTTCCAGATTACTGTCTTCATTCCTCCACTAGAGTCCACGACCAAAATTTACTCTCAATCTCTATATGTGCTAGGCATGCCGGATGCATCCTCTGGGAAAAGCACTGAGAACAGATGCAGCTGGACTCTAATAAATACTCACCGGGCATGGCTGATCACAGAACTCTCCTTGCCACCCCGGGGAACAAAGACAAAACCCATCCACTGGATCGCAGGCTGCTCCGTTGGCACAGTGACATGTCTGGTTACAGTTAAGTCCCCAAGTTCCACTTGGGCATGGAATGGAGCAGTCGACACCCTGCCACCCTGGAGAGAGATGCAACAGAAACCATGGTTGGGGATGCTGGCTCCACTGTCATTGCTAGGAAAAGAAAAAAACGAAGGCAGAGTGACGGGCACCCATTTGCAGCATCGCACTGTTCTCCACACCCCGCCAGCCAAGCACGGACACGTTCCACACAGACCAAGTGGCCAAGAGTCTCTGGTACACTTAGGATTTGTATGGTGCAGTAAGATGGAGGTGGGAGGGAAAAGAGCACAGAATTTGCAGCTTTTGGATGCTGGCTTCCCCTGGCAGCCTGGGCTAGGGTTTACCTTTTGGTTATAACCCCCGAGGGTCCGTTCCAGGGGAGTTGTACGAAACAGCTAAGCTAGCTGCACAAGCTGGGGAGATCTGATGGTTCTCTGGCCTCAGCACGGCTAAGAGGCTATGGATGGGGCAGAATATGGAACCACACAGGCCTTTTCATACTGAAGAGGCGGTGTACAACGTCAACAGAAGAATTGCTCCATGACACTCCTGGCTCGTCACATTCTAAACGACACACACACATCCCCAAACCCGCTTCTAACCTAGTCACCGAGGCTCCGATCTTAACTGCCAGCCACCCGACAGCATTCAATACGCCGCGGCGGTATGTAATGGAGTTTAGCAGAAACACCATGGTTTAGACACGGTAGTGAAATGGAGTTATACAGTGATTGATTAATTCCTGCTTGAAATGCCAACTTGTATTATTGTGTGCAGAGCTGCTGTAGCTGTGTGGGTCCCCGGATAGTAGAGACAAGTTGAGTGAGGTAATCTCTTTTGCTGGACCAACTTCTCTTGGTGAGAGAGATCAGCATTTGAGCTTACACAGAGCTCTTCCTTGCGTCTTTATTTGCTTCAGTACTTGTTACGGCTCAAGCACGCCATATAAGGCCATATAGGCAGGGGTTGTGAGAAGATGCACAGTTCAAAGACGGATTGGAGAAGACACTGTGTCAGGAAGGCAGAAAGTTTCCCAGAGCTCCCCAGAGCACAAGCTCACGGCTGTTCTCATGAAGGAGATGCCACAATCTGCAGAGAGGTGCACGTAGTGGTCCTGGGGAATACTAGCTGCACCGCACCCTGTGTTTGGGGACGTGCTAGACTGCAATTGTAGAGATCTCTGGATGGAGGGAGGTTCCAGTCACACAGGCCATGTCGTCACTAAACGGAAGTTTGAGGCTGCACGATCGATCTTCTGGAGTTCGATTTAGTGAGTCTAGTTAAGCCCCACTCAATCGAACTCAGAGGGTACCACCATTGGTAGCCAGTACTCCTGCTCCTGTGAGGAGTAAGGGAAGCTGATGGGAACATTTGCTCCTGTCAGCCTCCCACTGTGGGTTGACAGGGAAACTCGAATCATGATACATTGACTCCAGCTACGTAATTAATGTAGCTGGAGTTGCATACCTTGATTCAACCTTCCCTTTTAGTGTGGAGCTGGCTGTCTTCGCTCCCTGGCTCATATTGAAGAAGAGCAAAAGCTGCCCACCCTGAGAGGAAGAGGCAGGGAAGGAGCAGAGCGTGTGAGAAGCTCTAGCTCTGCTCCCACCCATTTGCCAGCCGAGCAGCCGTCCAGGTGCATGCCGGGGAGTGAACTGCGGCCCAAGACGCAGCGCGGTAATGACTGCCCCTAGAGTAATGGGCAATGGGGGTATTGGGGGGAGAAGCTGTGACTCCCAATCCCAATCTGTTCTCTGGTCTGCTACAGAGGAGTGCGGCGTCAAACCGCCACTTAATCTGGGCAGATTGTCAAAGGCAGTGTAGCCCGTCGTGAACCCTGCCATGTCAGACTCTTTCAGAAACACGGGGAGACAGCTAATAATTTACAAATGGAACACACCAGAGCTGCTGACTGTGCAATTCCGTTTAGTGGCAAATCAATTGCAATTTACATACGGCTGCATTGTTATCCTTTCAAACGGACAGCGCCATTTGTGGCACCGAACGCAACCAGCAGCCAGTGCCAACATCTGAATTACTTTTACCTTCTTTGCAAAGACACAAGCCATCCACAGGGGAACATGCACCGTCATTTTTGCAGTCGCACACTGACGAGCAGTTGGGTCCATACGTTCCTGCCCCACAAGTAACGGAGCAGTCATCTCCCTGCAAACCAAGATAAGACCAGCGTCAGGCAGAAAAATATGGATTTCAGCGAAGGCTCATCTGCCTTTCACTCTCAGCAAGGGCCGGAGCAAACTAGGATAGGACACCTTAGTTTTCAGTGCTTGAACAGTCACTGCTGCTTCCTCTGATTATGATGCAATTAGTGGCTTGATTGACTTGCAGGGAAGGGACACATTTCTGGCAGCCATTCAACAGGAGGGATGAAAGTTCCCAAAACACACTGCCTCCAACAGATGTTAGAGCGTTAACTGAAACCTTGCTTACAAAACACTAATCACATAGCACAGAGCTTGGTTTCCTTCTGAGCCGACACAAATGCGCCAAAGAATGGATTTTTCCGTAACCGAAGCCCAACAGAGCGCCTATCTGTTCATCCACCACCGATTGGGGCATGAAAAATTAAGCGGGAAAGTGCATTAGACCTTTCACATTGACACGCTAACCCAGCAGGCACTTGCATTCGGGGAGGGCTGGACTGTGACTTTCGACAGAGCCCTGAACAAGGATAAAGTATAGCCTGAATTGCCGAAGTAGCTATGGATAAGGCTCTGCGTGGATACAAAATTGGCATCTGCATCAATAACCCGTGGGCGGCTGCATCCACATTCGTGGATGCGGATACCCACAGATATCTGCAGATTTGTAGGGGTCTTGCAGAGGATGCATTGTGACTCAGACACCTCTCTGGGTTACAGCCCAGTCCCTGTTTCTTCCTATCCCAGAGGGAGGGGCTCTAGTAATTTGGCCTGCACCAGCACAAGTTACAGTGTTCCCTGAGCTGTCTCAATTGTTCTGTGCAAGCAGAAGGTGTGACGATGCATTGGGGTTCCCCCGCCTCTTGCACCCCCGTAATGGCACGAACAGACTCCACCAGCCAGTAGAACAGAAGCTTTTATTACTTCTCCAGGATACAGCACAGCACAGATGTAATCTGGTTCCAGGGCAGGCCTAGGATGCCTCAGCCCCCCTTGAGATGGGGGATACTGGGCCCCTAAATTCCAGCCCCCTTCCCTAGGCTGTCTCCTCCATGATCCCAGACAGAAACTAACTAACCCTCTTCCAGCCCTGCCCCCCAGCCAGGGGCGGCATTCCACCTTCCTTTGTTTCTCTCCCTGGGGGGTGGCTGGTCAGACAGGTTTGGAGCCCCCTTTGCATAATGACTCACCCCCTGCCCTGCTGGGTCGTGGTTCAGACAGCAGAGGTCGCCCCCTGCCCAGCATATCAACGAACAAGGCACCCCCCCACTATGTCACAGAAGGACAGAACCAAGACTGCCCATTCTCTGTCCATCTGCTGCAGGAGGCGAGTAAAATAGTGAGCAGTATCCCCTTAGTCCTTGTTGTGAGGCAGGTTGGCTCCCGTCTGACTGGGAAGAGGAAGGCCACTCCCATGTCCCCTTGTGGGCTGGGCCAGATCAATCTTGCTCCGCCCCCAGGAAGCAGAGGGGAGGGGCCAGAAGTATAAAAGCTGGAACTAGGGCTCAGTTGGCACCCAGCTTCTGAAGGAGCCAGATGCCTTCCCCAAGATCCCGAGGTGGGAGGCTGGGGTGCACCTTCAGGAAGTAGAGGACTGCTTAGGACTGCCAGGACCACTGACGATCCCAGACACAGAGCAACCAGGCACCATTCCCCGAAAACCCAAAGGAGCTGTGATGCTCAGAAGGGGATTTGGGAAGTAGCCTGGAGGTAGCTGATCCAAGTCTGGCTGAAGCAATGCCAGTGAATGAGTCAGCATATTGCAGTGAGGGTCTGCTACTGTTAGGGCCGGGACATAGTGGAGCAGAATGGCCTGCATCTCCTTCCTCCCCCTCCCCATCTGTGGGTGGCAGTGTCCCCGTTTCTGTGCAAAACACCTGTGCTTGTCAGCTCTCCGCCAGAGCTAGGAGACCCAACTGCTGCTCAGCCTCAGTGTAAGCCTGAGCACCTGAACTATTTCTGCCCTGCCCCATGGCAGGGCCTGGGTCAGACTATTAAACTGTGCTGCCTGCTTGTGGTGCGGTAAGTAGCCTCCCTCGGACCCTGGATAGGATTGGGACTCCGACCCGATCCAGTACAGCTGTGTGTGCCCAGACCCACGATCTACGGTAAAGGTACAGGGAAAGCAAGGTTGTGAAACTCTTCTTCAGTGAGTTCAATTAGAATAGTGATAGAAATGTAGCCGTGTTAGTCTGGTCTAGCTGAAACAAAGAACAGGACTATGCAGCACTTTAAAGACTAACAAGATGGTTTATTAGGTGATGAGCTTTCGTGGGCCAGACCCACTTCCTCAGATTTGATCTGAGGAAGTGGGTCTGGCCCACGAAAGCTCATCACCTAACAAACCATCCTGTTAGTCTTTAAAGTGCTACATAGTCCTGTTTTTTTGTTTCAATTAGAATATGTAGCTATCGGCCACAGAAAGCCACCATGCACTGCACTGTCACCCACATCTTAGTTAAAGATCAAAGGTGCAGATTTCATGTATGTATGCCCAGGAGAAGAACCACCGCTTCTTTGATGAGACTGTGTGCATTTATCAGTGGATACAAATGTGCAAAATGTCAATTTTCGTAGGTTCTAAAAAAGTATCACTGCACTGGGGGAGACCAATAGCACTAAGCAGCAAATAAGTTGTCAAAAGGAAATAGAGTTTGGTATTACAGTGCTACAAATCCAAACATGGGGGAGAGAATTTCCAGCTTTCTATTGTGAGAGACTTTTCAGCCTTTCTGTTATATCGTGGAACCTTGTTTTAAGGAGATGGCAGATAGATCACACACATATGCTCTGTCCAGAAGCAAATGCAATATTCTAATATTTTACTGGATGCAGTACTTGTAAAAGGTGATGGCTTGGACCTCAGTGGAAAAAAGAGAGAAGCCTGCCCTTCCTCCCCACAAATGCTTGGCTGTAAAGAGGGGCTGGTTTGATAGTCAGGGGGTCTGAATAGCTCTCTTCACCTACATGGCCATATGTGCCTTCAAATGGGGAGGCGGGGGCGGGGGAGGAGAGAAGCAGGAGGTGACCTGGGTGTTATAGAGGCCTTCAGTCTCTATGTCCAGTCAGCTCTTCCCCCTTGTGCTGAGACCAACAATGAGGTGGCCAATCAGAACCGTTTATCGACCCGTTTCTTGTAAGGTGGAAACCTAAATGAGAATTCCGACATCTCACCCAGGACTCACAACTACTGTTTGAGGATTACACCTTGTGCTGGATTAGAACTGGGGGTCTAGAAGTAAAAGCGATTTCCTTGTAACAGGGGGCAGGAAGCAAAACTATTTGTAAAGTCTAGCGCTCAGTCACCCCGCTCTACAGGACGTGGATCTAAAATGCTCCAGGAAGTCGGATGAGGGTGTGTCCTACAGATGGAGTATTTAGACTTCTGGTTCTGCTGCTAATTTGCTAGTGCCAATTGATGGGACTTCTGCAGAGAGTTTTCACTCTCTGCACCAGCTATAGGTCTGGCTTCTATATTTCCCTGCCTCCATTACAGAGGTGTAAATGTTTATAAAGCATTTGGAACTCCTCAGAAGAGAGGTGTTATTCAAATGTCCAGTACCATCACGACAACCCAGCCTTTATGCTGAATGGCTTAGGGTTTTGCGGAGCATTCGGGAACTTAATGTAATTATACTGTACTTCGTGGCTTAACCACAGTTAGCTACTGTGTCCCTTCACCGTTGTATTTACTATGTGAACAATCCTGAATTAAAAAAAACAAAACAAAAAAACCCCACAACAGAACAGCTCGCCTTCCCCACTTAATGAGATTTCTCTCTCTGGTTATAACTAGCCAGACCTCCAGAATAATCTGTGAGTGACAACTGCCACATACACTTAACTTCTTAATTATGCAATAGGAAAATGTACTTGAACTGTAGCACCGGCTCTAAGATATTATTAATTATATATGCAGAACCAGTCATTAACATTTTGAACTTGATTTTGGAGAATGACCTGTGAATTAAGTACATTAAGGTACTGTTGAAGATATGTAAATTCCATGCACCTCTTCCTACCTGCCTCACTGGATAATACTGCAGTACATTTCTATCCAGTTGTTAATGAGTTATATGTTCTCTTAAACTGGTATCAAATGTTGTTTATTGGATCTTCCCTCTTCAATATGGTACTTTATATTTCTATCCTATTTAGTAAAATTAATCAACAGCTGTGCACCTTATGCTGATTATTTTTTTTCTGTGAAGTTCAGGAGGTTAATGAGTGTAGTAAAAAGCCTGAGTCTGGTATGTGAGATGGGATAGGAATAGCTAATTCAATCAAATATAACCCCTGAAAAAATAACTGCTATATTGAAAAATCTAGCTATAACCAACCTGATATTTAACATCTCTTCCACACCAGAATGATCCACATGGACATCATAAACTTGCAGATGCGCTTAAATTGTTTGCTCCAGTATTCAAGTTGAAGGCCCAATTCATCAAAATATATGCCCTGTAACTGAATGAAACTTTATGGCGCTAAGGGTCAAATCCAATTCTCACGTACATCCGTGGAAAGATTCTCACTAGCTTGAATGACAACTGGATCAGGCCCTAATTCAGGAAAATGTGGAATTGAAGTCCAGCTCCCCTTATGAGGTAATGTCTACCTGATTCACGCCCTCTCACTTCTCACATCATCATCTTCAGGTCCAAAGCTCTGAGATCCTGAGCACCTCAATTCACCCGAAGTTGAAGTACTCAGCATTTTTCAGCATGCTAAGAGCAGGTCTTTCTTTTGTTCTCATTCTTATCATGATGGGATCACATCCCACCTAACCTACACACATATGGGATGTCTGGCACTGGTGATGCCAAACAGTTGACGTGTAATCAGAACGAAGAGATGATTAATAGTAACAATAATGCAGCCCTTCATCTTCCAAGCACAGCAAATATTAGCTAATTGTCGCTAAAACTAAATGATAGGCTGTTACCGCAGTGGGCAGAGATTTGGGTATGCAACACTCATTATTGTTAATTCGCCTCTAAGTAT